TACAGATACATATATAGTAATGATTGCTTCTCTTAAACAAATTATAAGCTTGGAAACATTTGCCAACATAATAAAGTTAGATTTAGAAATTCATGGGTACCTGTTTTTATTGGAATATGTAATTACAGGATCAGTCTCCAGTTTGGGCTCCTTGCAATTCCAAATAACAAAACATATCCACCTATAAAAGAATATTGTCTTTATGTTCTCTATAACAGTCATCCATTTCATTCAAAAATGTTATCAAATGACTAAGAAAAAAGACAAAGAGAAGAGAGACCATTGTTTTTTCAGATTTATTAATGCACCTAGAAATGTTTAAGAAGTTCTATAGATAGTCTGACAGTTAAGTACATAAACTTTGTACCCAGATATCTAAATTTAAATCCTAACTCTGACACTGCCTATGTAATTCTGGCAATTCTCTCCGTGCACCAATTTCCCCACTTATAAAATGAAGGTAAAAGTAGATATCTACTTCTCAGATTCTTCTGCAAATTAAATGTGTTAAATGTCTAGGTAGGACCCTTAGAAGAGTGTCTGGAATAGCTGATAAATGTTACCTATATTAAGGATGATAATAATTACTATTACTATTAAAATTGGTATTATTATTATTTTAATCACCAATCAGAAGTTGATTCCTATGCCAATGGTCCCCTTACTGGGCAGGTTCTGATAGAGATTAAATAATCAGGGATATGTGCTGAGTTCAAATAGCATAGCTCACAATTAATTTTTATTCATGGATTCAAAGGCCAAGGTAAGAATAACAGAACCTGAAATCAATCTAATATTATTCCTATTTAAAAAGAGGTGGTACAAAAATGGTGTCTAACTCCTGACTACTCCTAGTATAAAACCACTGTCCTAAAATACCCAGACTTAGATTTCCAGTTGGAAATCAGTCTGGACTAAAAGCCAATAAATTAATAATTTGTGGAGAACACATGGTAACTTTTTCTGAAGACAGCTTTACCGTACCCTGGATCTTCCAGATGAGCAATGACACTTACTAAGCTGACTTTCAGGTGCACGACCACACTGACTACTAGGTTGTGAGATGGGACACTCCCTCCCACCCACCAAAATCAAAGAGTACAACTTCAGGAAAGTCAGAGACAAAACTCTTGAAGGAGAAAGCTAGGAGGGTCTCACTACACCTCTTGTAACTTTGCCTCATTTCTAAAATTTGACCAAGTGTCTCTCCAGGAACTCTATAATATTCCATGTCCCTGCACCCCAAGGAATGTGGGGGACTATGGTCAATAATCCAAAAATAAACAGGAGGAATGCTTTTTTGTATATCAAGAGCCCTACTCTTAAAACACCTAGATAAAAGATATACCTGATGACTTGAAATAACCATTTGCCAGAGGGAAAATAGATTCCATTGCAAAAATCCAAGTTGGGATAGCCCCTGTTCTCACCAGCTTCTCAGTTCTTCCTAAAATCTTGCCAGGAAAGGAAATTGACCATCCTCGTAATAAGGAACTTAGAAGCAGGACAGTTTTAAAACAGTACTGAAAAGATGGCTGCAAAATCGCTACTGTTCCACGTCTCAGGAATGAGTAATGGGGGTATCAGTCTCCCCTGGCTTAGCACCAATGGCTGGGAGAAGCCATCTGCAGGAATAGCTGTGGAGGTTACACTCACTTCAGGCTTACAGCACTTAGCACGTACAGCACTGTTTGCCCAAAATACAGTGGTCATGTATTTGGGAGACCACAGATTTCTCATCCAAGAACTGGATGTTATGTTAACGAACAACAGGGTTCCAGGAAATCAAATATAATATCCACTCAGCAGGGTTCATGACTCAGGAGAAAGTCAACTCATGAGTGTCCAGAAGACATTTAAGAATGTCTGAGAAGGCTTAAAACTGCATGAGAAAGAAATTATGAAGGAAAAAAAAAGTAAAAATGGCAGGGCAGAACATTTAAAACACATGAGGTATAAATCTAGGTAGTCAAGAGTTAAAATAAATGAACAGAAAATAGAAAGAATTAGAAAAACTTTATAAAAATCCCAGAAAATAAGAAACACACACACACATAGAACGTATATACATACATACATATATATATATATATAATTTAACACCTGTCATCTAGTATGCAATATTGAAAGTATAATTTTAAAATGATTTTTAAAAATAAGCATAATTGTAAATTATCGAAAAAGCTGAAATCTGACTTATTAAGAAATGCAAAACTCAGTAATTAAAATGTAAAAAGCAAAAAAATTAAAGTAGCTAAGGTTAAGAATTGGCAGGAAACAAAGAAAGGGTAAAGTTTTTAAACTGTAATCCTACCGACTCACATCAAAGCAGGCAAACTAGTGACTATTAACTATTTTAAAAGTTCTTCACTGGAGGCCACTCTGCTGAATGTTCCCTGTTAGCCCACCTGAGTTTCTCAAACTCACTTCGCAGGTGAGTGGGAAGGAAAAAATAGCTAACACTGGGTGACTCTGTGTTTTCTAATTTTTTTTTTCTCCACAGACATTATTCTTTCCTCTGCATCACTGTCTCTCCTACCACTATATTTTATATGTCAGGCTTTTCATTATTTGCATAATTATGTTCTTAAAATCTACAGGTAAATTAGGCTGAGATTTGACAAGTAAAACACTGAAGTGTCTTTCATAACATTTCAACTAGGTATCCACTAACAATCACAAAAGACTCCTTCTGTTCCAAAAACTCAATTCAATTCAACAAATATTTATTCAGGCTCTGCCATAAAGTGTGTTTAGGAAGGCTTTCACTGCCTTAAATCCTTGGCCCAGCTGGATGACAGGAATACCAATTCCTCAGAAGAAACTCAAATCCCAAGGTTTTTTGTTTGTTTCCTCAAATAACAGTCCAACATTCTCTCTAAGTACATCTTATCTCCCAAAACACTTTCAATTCACTTTTTAAAAACCATTATTTAAATAACAATTACAGATCAAAGGTAGAAATAAGCACTTCCTAGAAGGCAAATAGTCCAGATAAAACAAAAGACTTAATTTGCATACACACTGACCACAAAATTCTGCTTCTAGGAACATAACCAGAAAATAATGGGACAAATCATTCCTTCAATCATTCAGTGCCAAGCATTATTCTAAATTTCTGGGATATAACAGCAAAAAAACAGGTTAGGATCCTTGCCCATATGGTATTTATATGCTCGTGTGATTTACCCAATCTTACTTAATTTATCCAATAAGAATAATACTGAACTTTGTGTGTAAATCAAAGTTTTCTCAATCAAAATACATTTCACATTGCCAAAGACAGTTCTACAGTATTTAATAAGCAATGCAACTGTTTCTTTCACAAACAAATGACTTTTGAGGAAAGATGGACATGTCAGAGAAGACATTCATACTTATCTAAATTCCTGGGGGTTTTTGTACTACACTTTCCTAAAGAATACTATAGAGTAGAATAAATTATAAAAACATAATAGGATGAAATTTGTTTTTAAGAATTTAGTTTATGGAATTTTCTAAAAATTCATAGGAATGTGTGGTGTTCAAATGGCCTTTTAAAAGATCAAAGTGAATTGTGATATATACAGAAAATATCAGGCCAGTTCTTATGAAGGAAAAGCAGGGAATGGAAAGTGTAAGACCATTTTTTTAAATGTTTATTATTTGTTCTTGGTGAAACTGTTCTGAATTCACTAGATATATTCACATGTAGTCTACCCATTAATAGATTTAAGGTTGGCTATTTAATATAACAGTTTATTCTGCATCATGCTACTTATGTCTCTTGATTTTTCTATATAAAGACAAAGAAAAAAAACCTATACTCTTGCACTTTTCAAACTGAAAGAGAAAAGAATCATTATAATTCTGAATTAACTATAATCTAAACTAATCTTAGAAATTAATATTAGGAATATTAACAGAAATTATCAAAATAAGTTCAAATACAGATATTATATATGTAAGTGGGAAAAATGTGCCAAGGCACATGCATAAGAAAACATTTTAAAGAAAAACAAAAACAAAAATAGAATCCTAAATTTCCAACAGTAGTAAATAAGTTAAACATAGCATGATCAATCCACATACAAATCCTGTTTAGGCATGTGAAGTGGTGTCATGAGTGTTCTTTTATTTACAGGGGAACACAACAACTTTGACAAATGATGTTATGAGTTACAACCAGAAGCTTAGACAAAGCCCCAGGACAATGCCCACATATAATTACATACTTAATATCTGTAAGAATTATTCAGTCCTAAGAGAAAGAAAGAATATGAAAATGCACTACTCCATTAGGTTCAAAAGCCCTTACTGTAGATAGAAAAGGAATCCACCTACCTGAAGAGCTAAAAAAATTAAATATCCAATCAAATCATCAATCAAGGCAGAAATTTGAGACTTTTTAGAACAAAGATAATATATAAATTGAATCCAGGGATGTGAGATACATGATTACCACCTTTTAGACGTAATGGATTCATTGACAGGAATAGGGTTCTGAGGAATCAATCTACACTGCTGACAAGAATCCAATCTTTGTTCCAACTAAAAGCATTAGTGTTTATTACCTTTAATCAAGCCAAGAAGACAACTGCAAAATTTATATGGGAAGGGAACTCTACAAATTGTGTGAGATCACATAATTATTTCATGGGTGGAAAAAGATGTAAAGATTTGAAACTAAATATAGAAAAGTTTAAGAGAATCAAAAACTATAAGATTAATACTTTTGTGCATATTATTTCTATATAATCAATTGATTTTGGCTTGTGTGTATGATATTGGAACATTAACGAATTTAAACTTTACCATATAAGTTTAGTTTATTAGATATACAAGAATTACTTAAGAAAATGTGAAGGTTTATCAGGCAGGTGACTGCACTATTTAAAGAAAATATAATATATTAAATTTAGAAATGCAATCCAAAATGTTTGGGGGCTTATCTGAATTTCTCACTGAACATGACATATTAGTTTCCTATGTTTTGCTGTAAAAAAATATCACAAACTTAGTGGCTTTAAAAAAACACAAGTTTATTCTGTTATAGTTCTGGAGATCAGAAATCCAAAATCAGATTCCCTGGGCTAAAATCGAGGTGTGGTTCCTTCTGGAGGCTCTAGGGAACAATCCTTTTTCTTGTCTTTTTCAGCTTCTACCTTTGACTTCTACAACTCTAGCCCGTTTCTCTCTTGTAAGGATCCCGGCATTCACTGGCTCATGGCCCATTCCCTCCGTCTTCAAAGTCAGCAGCAGGGGACTGAGCCCCTCACATTGCTTCCATCGTTCCTGCTTTTCAATCTCATCTGGCTGACATAGCCAGGAAGATTCTCCACTTTTAAGGATTCATGTGATTGGACTGGGCCCACGTGGATAATCCAGGATAATCTCCCTAGCTCAAGATCCTGAATTTAATCACATTTGCTAGATCTCTTTTACCATATAATGTAACATTCACAGGTTCCAGGGATTAGGAATGTGGACATCTTTGAGGGTCATTATTCAGTCTACCACACGAGGTAATTTTGTAGTTTTCAAACTAAAAAAAAAAAAAAAGTATTGAACTGAAATGTAAAAATTATAATTTTCCATATGAGGAAAACTCTAAACAGAGACGATTATGCAAAATCAAGCTCTTTTTCAAGTGGCTTTAGACCCACTGACTTGCATTATTTTTCAGAAGCGAGAACATTCAACATTATGATTTCTAAACGTGTAATTCTTAATGTTACTTCAACAGTATATTCATCAACAGAAACCAAGTATCAAATAATACATATAACTCATGTACTTCCTTCATCCAGGACACATCTTTGAACATCTCAAGAAAATATGAGCTACAGCCTATACATTTTTATTTTGGGACAACACAATTTCCTAAATTTTATATCTTATTTGCCTACTTATTTTTTAAATAAAAAACAGATTTTTCTAAATAATGAAGAGCACTTATATATAGTTTCTTTCTTCTATTTGCAAACCATGTTTATATTTTTTCCAGGGCAGAGAATACGGTAAAGTATAACTTGAAATTATGATAAATAGTGTTATCCTTCTGCATCTAAGTGAGTGTATTTTGCCACTGTGATGGTTGCCAAGGGTGCTGAAGCTTCAAGACAGCTCTTTCTGTTTACCTACTCAAATTAGTAAAGGTAGTAAGAACAACCAGAAGAAGCAAAGTTATTTGCTATTTGATACAAACATGTACATATCTATTGCAGTATCTTGATTTACTCTGATTGGCTGGAAAAGAGAGGTAAAATTACTTTAGATACTACATTCAAAGTGAGATCTAATCAGTTAATTTAGGAAATCAATTCTGTTGGTTATCTTTTCATCTTTACGTTATACAGAAACTTTTGGTCAAAGAGAATAACATTCTAACCTAAGGTTTTTATCTGTATTTGTTTTCAGCTTAAGCCATTTAGAAAAGTTACTCAAAATGGCATGACTAATATATATATACAGTCTGGTGACACTTTCTTTGAAATAAATCCTGTAAGTTTTGCTTTTACCTTTAAAATTTTTAAACAAGGGTTTTGGCCAAAAGGTAATAAAATGTCTGCCTTAAGTAAGGTTTTTCTTTCCATTTTGTTTACTGTGTGTTTTTAACTTAAAACACCATACTTTTTATCACTGATCACTGTATCAAAGCTTCAAAAGTCCCAAATATTTCAAGCACCTTTCTAGTCCATTAGGAATAACTACTTTACTATATGCTATGTGGTGGTAATTTAAGGCAGGAACCCTTAGAACTGGATTGAATTATGTATGTTCTTTAGGTCAAATCATCTCTACTTACATATGCAACTACATTTCTGTAAAGTCTGAGTATAGTACAGTTAGTCTACAAGGGAAGTGATGGCCTTAGCCCTGCACACAGACAAGGCAAAGGAATGTGAGGCAATTCACAATCCAGATTGGTGAGCACTACTAACACAAAAAGCAAACCTCCACCTGGCTTTTGACGATCATGTACAACAAGTGGGAGTAAGTTTCCCTTAGGGTAGGTTCATTCATAACCAACAAAAAATAAGCAAGCAAATAAAATTTATGAAAAGAATAAACATATCTGCAAAGCATGACAACCCAAATACAACTTCATCTCAAATGCAAACAACCCCTGAAAAGGCACTTTTCTTAAGGACCTTTAGTCTTAGAATCAGAGTACAACTCAAGAATGACTCATTGATTTACACTGGTAGCTAAGATTCATTACATCTACAACTTTTGAGCCACAAATATCTATACATGGTCTTACCATTATCTCTTCTTCCGAAACACTTCTGTGTCCACATCTCATTGGAATGAAGTGCTTCAAACAAACAGACCAATTTAATCACACAAGGTAACTCTTTGGATAAATGGCAGTGACATCTGAGAATTTAAAGGTGATGAGGGCTGGGAATCCCCACAACCTTGTTACCAGGATATACTGAAAGCAAATTCCAAACCAAACTCTGTTACACAGACATTTACCTAAAAAAAAAAAACCCTATGATGGTTGGCTGGTTAGCTCAGTTGGTTAGAGCACAGTGTTATGACACCAAGGTCAAGGGTTCTGATCCCCATACTGGCCAGCTATCCAGAAAAAACAAAACAGAAAAAAACTGTATTAAATAATTAGATATATTATAGATCATATAACTCCTCAAGAATAAGGAGTGTCTCTAAAACAGGCAATCATGTCTCTCTAATGGCACTAACATCCCCAATGAAAGTCCATTTCTAATCCTTATCACATTAATTATCAATGCCAGAGGTGAGGGGGTAGGGCGCAGGTATCTTCATTGTAGTGGTGACCTCCAAGTGACTAGAATTCTAGCTCACCGTTAACTGGGAGATGTGGATTCCAGATAAGGGAAGCCTTCCAGACTAAGGAACACATAAATAATATCAAACTGTCAAAGCTGAATTGTTTTTAAGTAAATTTCAGCCAACATAATAGAAACATAACATTTCCTCTTGCAATCTGAAAATTGCAAACTCTCTGTAAAAATCTATGGCCATTCCAGAGACTGAATAAAGTAGGGTGGGGGGATTGCTTTTTCCTTAGTAGCTACGTGATCAGGAGTAAATGATTTAACCTCTCTGATCTTTAGTTTCCTCATCCTCAAAATGGAGATAAGATGACTACTGCAAGGGGCACGTTCTTAGTTGCGGCTTTACAAGTCAGGGATACAGAACTGCTGCTGTGGGAATCAGAAATGACAAATTAAAAGAAGGCGAGATACAGACTAGCACACAGAGTAAATGCCAGGAAGATTTTGTTCCTGGAGGTTCCCCTCTGCTGGCCATTGTACCGTGATAGAAACTGCCAGCTCAAGATCCTTTGCCACTCATGGAATTTTCCACAGGAGGCCCTGGAAGCTTGTTGACCATGACCCAATGCTCCTGGGACAAGCCCTTCCTAAAACTCTTCACAAGTTCTTCCTGAAACATCATGGTGTTGCTCCTCAGAGTTCTCCCCTGTGACACTCATAAAACTTCCAAAAGGAGTACTCTGCTTGTAAAAAGCCACCTCCTAGATCTCTCCCCACTGCTATTTGTGAGTTATCTGCTAGGGTCATTCCTGCTAACTCAGTCCATAGGAAAGTAAGTACTTTGCTGTCACCATCCTCTTCTGCCCTCAGGTGCCACTAGTCTCCTAATCACACAGGCTTTGCGGACTGTAGCCTGCTCAGGTCTATTCAATCACTGACTCAAAGTCATCACCAAAGCTTACCTGACACTATTCCTCAGCTCTGTCCTGCTTTTGACAATGGTGAAAAAGCTATCGCTGTTTGCCTTGGACTAAGCACATGGTGAAGTGGTCTTGACCTCTAGGATTACTGTTCTGATGGTCTAACTGGACTAGCCAATCTCTAAACAATTACAACTCAGTTGGTCATACACGTTCTTAGTTGCAGCTTTCCTAGCCAGGGATACAGAACAAAACTTTCCAGGATGCTAAATGCAGACTGTACCAACTTTGCACCACAGTACTCTACAGGGGACTCGGAAGACACAGTAAACCTCACTTTTCTGTAAACTGGGGACTATCCCCTATTCCACCCTAATAATCTGTTTTCTGTGGCAAGGAAATCACTCTTAGGTGTCTCCAAATTCACCCTAGTTCCTATGCCAAATGCTCCAGAGCCCTTACGTGCGTCCCTCCCTGAAGTCTAGACATGATCTCCTAGCACTCTAAGAACGTAGCCACTTTCAGTTATTAGAACTTCTGGTCACACCCAAGGGGTCCTACCAGACTACAACCATTTCTCAGTGATCTGAGGAGTTGAAAGAAGGGGTGAGAGATGTTCATGTTTAATTGATAAAAAGATTGACAATATTTTAAATAAATATTTGATCAGTGATATATGGCCTAACGTAATCAATTAAGTTCTCTGGAAATTAATTCAAGCACCTGAACTAAAACTGAATCCCTGGTCCCTCTCTTGCTATAGTTATCTATTAAAAACAGAGAGTTTCATAATCAACCAGTAGTTACTATATCATTAAAATGACTGATTCAGATAATCAAGGAAAACATTTAGATTTTTTGGTATGTCCAGCACTGACAGTTGAAAAATTTTTATTAACACTTTAACCTAATGGATTAATCTTTATTAATGATTAATGGAAAATGTTTTGATTCTTTAAAAAGTTTGACATTTACATCAGTATAAATGTAACTGAATAAATTTCATGCAATAAAAGTCTTACTATAAATCAACTTAAACCATTTCCAAAAACAAAAACATAAAAAGCAAGCTCATTTAATGGTACATGAACTTCACATTTGAACAAATTACTATTTTATTTGATGTATAAATATGTTTTTATTTCTCTTTCAAATCAGTCTTTGGTTCTATTCAAATCCTTTCTACTCCACTGTTTATACAGACTCAGATCTTTATTTAAAATGTTGAATACTCTTTTAATTGGATCTTAACTGTCTATTATTTCTGTGATAAGCTTTGTATACTGAAAAAGCACCAATTGTTAAGGTATAACACTTCATACATATGCCACAGCCCCTCTAATACCTGGTTAAAAAGGAATAATAACACACAACAGGGGCCTTATGTTAACTTATGAAAAAAAGCATGTCATGAACTTGAGTATGATTTTAGCAAATCTACCTACCTGTAGTTAAAGTAAAACAAAAGAAAAAGGATTTTTTTAAAGAAAAAAATAATATATGCCTGACACACTAAGCTCTCAATGAATGTTAAATGCTTTGTATACATATCTTATTTCATCCTTTTAAATTAAGTGCTAGTAGACTTTTGAGACAGATTCCATCCCCCCTTTATAGAGGGGGAACCTTAGGCCTGGATAGAGAGTTAAGTGACAACCAGAAAGAGGCAAAGCCAAGAAGGAAAGCTAAGACGGCCTTTTTCCAAAAGCCTGTGGTTTTAAGGCTTTACATGGACTAGTCCTACTGGTGAATAATCAGGACAGCGATTTAAATGATAGCTTTTTCCTATATTTTTAAGAGTGACACTGAAAAATTCAGCCAGAAGATATTGAGATTACTGAAAGTCAGATCACATGACTGAAAAAACAACAGACAAATGTCTAACGGGTTATTACAGTGAAAAAGGATTAGGACCTGATTAGGGGTTAATATCCAAAACATATAAGGAACTTATGCAACTCAATAGCAAGAAAACAAATAACCCAATTAAACACAGCAAAGAACCTAAATAGGTGATTCTCAAAAGACACACAAATGGCCAAGAGGTACATGAAAAAAATGCTCAACATCAATAAGCATCAACGAAATGAAAATTACAATCACAATGAGATATCACCTCATACCTGTTAGAATAGCTATTAACAAAAAGACAAAAAATAACAGGTGTTCCTGAGGATGTGAAGAAAAGGGAACACTTGCACACTGAATGGTGGTAATGTAACTTAGTACAGCCATTATGGAAAACAGTATGCAGGCTCCTCAAAAAATTAAAAATAGAACTACCATATGATCCGTCAAATCACACTTCCAGGTATATGCCCAAAGGAAATGAAATCAGTATGTCAAAGAGATATCTGCACTCCCATGTACACTGTAGCATCTTTCACAATAGCTAAGATATGGAATCAAAGTAACTGTCCATGAACAGATGAATAAAGAAAATGTGGTACATATGAGTACATATGTAATAGAATACTATTCAGCCTTTAAAAATAAGGAAATTCATCCATTTGCAACATGGATGAACCTGGAGGACATTATGTTAAGTGAAATAAGCCAAGCACAGAAAGAAAAATACTGCATGATCTCACTTATATGTGGAATCTAAAAAAGTTAAGCTATAGAAGCAGAGAGTAGAATGGTGGTTGCCAGGGACTAGGGGTGTGGTGGGGGTGGGAATGTGTAGAGGATGATCAAAGCATACAAAGTTTCAGATGGACAGGATGAATAAATTCTGAAGATCTATTTTACAGCATGGTGACTGTAGTTAATAATAACGTACTGTACCTTTGAAAATTGCCGAGAGTAGATATTAAATGTTTTCACCACAAAAAAAATAAGTATGTGAGGTGATGAATGTTAATGAACTTGATTTAATCATTGCACAATGTATACATATATCAAAACATTATATTGTGTACCATAATAGATACAATTTTTGTCAATTATACCTTAATAAAGCTAGGGGATGGAAGAATCTTGTAAAATCACCTATTACTACAGTATTAAAAAGGGAACTCAAGAAAGGTATTTCCAACAGTCAGAGATATAAAAATATCAAACTTTAATTTACAGAAGTGTACAAAACCATGTACTTACTATGATCCCAATAAAGCCGAAAATATGTACCATGTGTAATTTAAGAAGCTAAATATCTTTTCAGATGGTGCTAACCACTGACTCCCAATGCTCAGCTGCACTCAGAGGCTGAAATACTTGCTGAAATAATAAGTGGTGACACTTTTACCTAATGTTCCATTTTTCTGGCCTTTTCAATTTACCATTGTACTCTTTATTTCTACTTTTTAACTGTCCCTTCAGTACTGCCCCTCTCCCACCTCTCTCATTGTACAAGAACATCATGTGAAATAACATCAATACCTTCTCAAAAACCTGCATAGCGTGTCATTCTTAAGAAGAATTGATATGATATCAAACAAACTGAAAAATAAAAAAGTCCACAATGACTGGATATTTGCATCACTGAAAATAAGCAACCTCTTTAACCCTTCTCACAGTAAACTGAGCAACTGCTTGAGCTGGGAGAATCACCTAATTGTAGGGACACTGAGTACAGCAGAAAAAAAAAAAATCAAACTAAACCTTAAGGCAATTTTGTCTACTGAAGCAAGCTTCAATGGTCTCAAGGTTTAACACTTTACACATATGTCAGGGTCCCTCCAACCAAGTGAACCAGTGAAGGGCACATGGAAAATTTTTATCTTTTTCCAAAATAAGTTAAACAAAATTCCAGCTAATAAAGTATATGTTTCTTTAACAAGATAATAT